GGAGCTGGTTAACTGGAAAGCCTCAAGACAGACCGTCAACTCACCCATTTGGCGATTAAAATGGCGGTCGCCTCCGAAAAAGACCGGGTTGCAGCTAGAAGGCTGGCAAGTTTTCGGGATGGCTGGAGCTTGGAGGAGAGGGTGCATCGCACGGCTGCCAACTGGGCGCCCAGCCTTCCGCTAGCGCTTCCATAATGTGCCTGGGATCGGTGCAAGCCTTTTTGCAGTCTGTTGTTTTGATAAAACGAGGGATAAGGTGATACAGCACCGCCTGATACGAAATGCCTGCGAAAACGTTTGGGATGTAACGGTCTTGATGTGGCCGTTCTTGAGAGACTTGAAGTATCTTTTGCACTTACGCGTCGCATCCAGCAAAAGGGAGGTTAGTCCTCTCAGTAAAATACACAGCAACTATATAACATAAAATTCTTTTTTGAATCATGGTATATACTGTAAGCTGGCGATACAACCATGCGACTTAATGGAAGCTCAATGAAACACATGGATGCACCCCAAGGCTGCTATCAGCTCCTCCTGCGCTGCTTCCTTCTGTAATGAGGCCAGCTCCTGCAAGCTTGGGGATAGAGGCTCGAGGCGGTGACGCAAGCCACTTTTCCTATAATATCTGAGAAAGCTAAAGCTCCTTTTATCGTTTTAGAGAGCTAAAGCTCCTTCATGAGCTTTGATATTTTGCGCGGCGCACAGCAATTTAAATGACAACCGGTGCGCCATGAGCGCTGGAACTGGCGTTCTCTTGGCCCGCTCCATTTCCTCTTCTGTCTCCCTCCGCTGCAAGACCCTTCCCGGGCCGACCGCATCAGTACGCCTCGAGGCCTATGAGCGGCCACCATTGGCTTAAACCCCATTTGGAGCACAAGCCCTCCACCAAGAACAGAGGGCAGACCCCCCCACCGCTTCCAGGAACGTTGCGCAAGTCTGCGCAAACCTGCTGGAAGCTACGTTGGATATTCTGATCAATTGACAAGAAAAGTGCTTTGAAAGGCGGTCAGAATTATCAAGGGCATGTGGCGTTCGTTTGGAAATCTCTTCAGGGCACTGCAATGCTGGGTCAGTGGAAAGATTTCTGGCAGCAGCTGTCATGGCCTGATCTGGAGGGAATCAGGGTTTGAAAGCTACATAAATGGAGCAGTTTGAAAGCTCATGGCCAAGATGCGCTTCAGACAAGCTTCGCGCAAGTTCGCAGCCGTTGCACCCCTCCACTGCTGCAGCTTGCTGATGCTTGTTTGTTGCCCCTGTTGCCCTTTGAGCCGGCTAATTATCTGTTATTTTAAAAACTGAAGTCTCCGTTTGAAGGAGGCTCCTGTCTCCTGTTTAAAATGACGCTCCTATTTTACAGGAAGGAGGCCTTGTCTCCTGCCTTAGCTTTCCTGCTTAAGCTATTCAGATTCAAGTTATTCTCCCTCAGGAAGGGTGATGCGTGTCTGGGCGTGTCTCCTGCCTGAAGGGTGATCAGTGACTTAGCCTAGCCTAGGCTGTTGAATAATAACAATCAGACATGGCGCTTGGGTCGGTTTTACTTGTCTGCCGCTGGTGCAGCCGTTTTTCTGAGCTCCAAATCTCAGCTCTCGTGCCCCTGACCCTGCTGCTCTGAGCCATGCGGACGTGGGTCGTCTTGGCGGCGGTGTTGCTGGGCGTGCTGGGCTGGGGGCAGCCGACAGGCGGTGACCCTGGACCTGGACCTGATGGCCCTGGAGCTGGACCTGGCGCCAACGGAGTTGGTGCTGCCAACTTAGCCCAGGCTCTGTGGCTGTACCTCAATGGCCATGGTGGTGGCACAGCGGTACCAGCGGCGGTGCCAACACCAGCTGTGGCACCAACGGTCGGGCCAACGACACCAGCCGCGCCTCCCGCCTCTGACTCTGGGACCCCGGCCGCAGGACCGCCTGATGACACAGCAGTGCCGCCTTGGAGGAGCCCGTCAGCCTCAGCGCCAGCGAATCCTGGGCCTACTGCCCCGGTGCCACCAGTCGGGCCTGCTGTAGTCGTGGACGGCGCCAGCCCTGACCCGAAGGCGCCAGACCGGAAGGCGCCAGCAGAAAAAAAGCGGCTTAACCTTGACCTGAGGCTCTGCCGCGTCTGCAAACAGGTCGCCTACAAGGGGAAGTCGGAATGTCTCAACAAAGACTGCGTGCCTCGGCTTTCATATTTTTGACTCTTACGTTTCTTTATTAAGATAAGCGTTGATAGTCTGATAACAGTTTCCACCGCGGGTCTGAACTCAGATCCATTCAGGAGCTGTGGCAGGCTTGGCACCAGCCCAAACGACACAAGGCAAACAAGGGGAAGAAGAGCCCGGTGTGGTATGCCCACACCAAAGCTGCCCACGCCGCTGACGACAACGACGACGATGACAATGATCCAGGTGCAGCTGACTGGCATTCGCCCTTGTGGCGGGGAGGCGGCCACTGGGGCGACTGGCACGACGATGGACATCATTCATCCTGGTCCTCGTCGTCGTCGTCGTCATGGCCACGTGGCAGGCGGGGCTGGATTTGGACGAGCGGCTAGACTCAGACTGCGACATGGCACTGTCAGGCGGGTGTTTAAAAAGGAGTTGCGTGCTGCTGGGGAGGGGCTCGTTGGGGTATCAAGGACCCAGGAACAAGGAGGCTGGAACGGTCTCCTGTCTCCATTCAGAGAGCAAGGAGGCTGGTCCTGTCTCCTATCAGCTTCATTCAATGGCAAGGAGGCTCGAACACTTTCCGGCCTCCTTGTCAGACTCCTAGCCTATCATAAAATAATCATCGCAATGATGACGATAAGGAGTTTGACTGAGTTATGATCTTATTTCTGAAGGAAGCCTTTGGGCTCCTACGTGTAGCCCTGACTGTGAAGGAGGCTGAAGCACACTCCTACACAGGTGAAGAACCTAAGGGCTCCGACAAAATAACAATTCAAGCGAAGGAAGGTCAAGCAGTCTCCTGCGCATGGAGACCTCAGAGAAGAGAAGGAGGTACGCTACGCCTTCAAACGAAAACTGCAAAGAAGCAAGCTCAGGGATCCAGGATGCGTGATAAAACATTAGTCTCAATCAAAGGAGATAGAAATGGGGCCTCCGCAATCTCCTAGGCACAGGAGGCGGCTGTCAAGACACAAGTCGCAGCCAGTCTCCTAGTCAAAGGAGGTCGGAGTTCAACTCACACTTCGCTGGTCAAGGACGGCCTTTGTCACCAAGGACAGCCTCCTCATCATATTCAACCAGGGTTTAGAAGGAGGAATTCGAAAGACTGCTTCTGAAATCTTCTGATTGTCGTTTCTGCATTTGCTTCCTTGTCATTGTTGCTTTGCTTGCTCAAAAGTAGACTGGCCAGGCAAGTTTGAAACTTACACTCCTTAGAGCTGCTTAGACAGGATCTTTGCAGCCATGTCGTCTTCACCAGTGATCAAGGACTCTCTGAAGACGGAGCCGACAGAGAGCACTACTACCAAGGACAGTGACAGCTTAGCTGTGAAAGCTGATGCTGTGCAGAAACAGAAGAATCTGCTCCGAAACACGTCCACTCACGGCCTCGTTGCGAAATGGGGCTATCTCAAAAAATGCTCGCCTATGAAGAACAAGGCGCGAGCTCTGGCCAGAAAGATCGAAAAAGAGCTCATCCGGCGTGGTGAATTGGTAGAAGGCGACTCTGACTCCACACTGACTGAGGGAAGTTGGTGCGGCATGTAGTTAATTGGACACCAGTCCAATTTAATTAATTAGCCTGATGAGCACCCGGAAGTGGCACAAGTTGCTTTGATAGCCTTCTGACTTGCGAGAAAAAAATTGGGGACCGCCGCCGGCGATGCGTAGAATGGTAGTAGTCGGGGGTAGTAACTTAACGGCTTCCAAGTCAGGCAGAGCAGTCGTCGTGCTGGATTGAAATTTTGAAGAGCGTTTGTGTAGTGACATTCAATTCCTCTGCAGACTGGCTCTTCGAGGCGTCCAGGGATGGTCATGGCTCTGGCTGCCAAAACCGTGCCTGATGTGACTCTAGTGTCGCCGTCTTCGAAGCAATTGGTGGAGCATGGGCAGCATTGCAAAACTGGCAGCTGCTCTCAGTGCGCTTGGCTGCTCAAAGGCTCAGCTTGGAGGAAAAATTTTCCTTGGCTGTGGGCCGGCTATGCAGGCAAGAGCGATACCTTGACAGTGGGGTGCAAAGACTGCGCACTGCATGCTGGGAAATACAAAGGGGCAGGAGGTGATGTTCAGCTTTCCACTTATGCCACTTTTTCTCTACAGCCCGATGCTACTTGGAAAACATGGAGGTTTCGGCATCATGAGAAATCCAAGTACCACATGGCCGCCACGGCTGGAGATGCAACTTCTCATGCCCCTGGTGCAGATGAGTGGCAAGACCTTGTGCGCAAGCTCAATCGAGGACATTCGGAGCGTGACAAGAATGATGGAATACCTTCTTCTCGAACAAGGCTGATGCACTATTGCCTCAGCGAATCCATCTTACACTCTTATCGCGTTTTCCTGGCTACTGCCCAAAGCATTACGTTGATGAGGGATGTGTCTCGACCAATTTAGTTGGCTTCTTTTCACTCACCCCTTTTCAACTTTAGGGTAAGAAGATTATTTTAAACTCATTGTTCCTCAACAGTACCTAGGAACGGGAAGGACGTCTTTTGATTAGATTTCGCGCGGTGGACGCCAAACTACAAGTTTGCAGCGGCTGCATTGGACAGCCTCGCCTGGTGGAAGGAAAGACTTCCGAGCACATAGCGGCTGCCACTGTGACGGCTGTGAAGCTCTTTTGCACACCTGGCTTTGCAGGGTCGCTTGACTCAGGATTGTTCAAGCACATCCGACAGACAGTTCACATCATGGTGACAGACGCAGCATCGTCTGAAATCCTGGCGTCGGACATGCTCAGAAAAAGGAGAGGGTCCGATCACAATGACTTGCAGAGAGATCCATTTTTCCAAACCTGTTGTTGCTTGGCCGTGATGCCAGCCATGCCTGCGTGAGGCTGATCAAACGTCCATGGCACGTCATGAATGAGGTGAAAGATGTGGTCAACAGCACAATCACACACAAGGACTCTGTGGCCCAGAAGATCTTCCACTCCCCCAACTATTCCTTTTGGCTGCAGGAAGCCATCGACAGAGGCTCAGGGCCTCAGACCAGCAGCTTATCAGCAGCGAAGCATCGCTTCGCATCGTTTGCAAAGCCAATGGGGAGATTCATTCTCAATCTGCAGCCAATGTTTGAGGTGCTTCACAAGATCTTGGCTTTGAAAGAAGATTGCGGTTGGTTGCACACCTGGATGGATGCCGTGCCGGGGCAACGGTTGCTTCTGCTCGCGGCAGCCGCCGATGCCGCTGACACAGTCATGGAGTTCTTGAGGCTGATGGACAATGAAGGACAAGACCCAGCCATTTTGAACTCCGAAGTGCATAGTTTTCTGAGCAATGTCGACGTCCAGTTCGGAACACCAGGGCAAGTTTTCGACATCAATGGCTATAGCAAGCATTGTCTAGATGTCTTGCAATCAGAGCCTGGATTATATGTGAAGCACCGGGGGCAACAGAAAAGAATCAGGGTTTCTGCTGCAGATCGCCGCGCCGTCCTGCAGGCCTTCAAGCCATGGGTGCACCTCTGCCATGAGGCTTGCGAAGCAGAGTTTCCTCATTTTCATTTGTTTTCCTCCATGGGCGTCTTAGATCTTCGCTCTGACGCACGGCGCACAGATGAAAGATATTCTTGTCTTCGCCGCTTGGCTGCGGCTTTGCATGTTGATGAGCAAGGGCTTGTCTCTGAGTTTGAAACTCTTCGCCCAGTGGCCATGGCTTTCCGTCAGAAGCAGGATTGCAGTAGCCGGGATGCGTGGAAACAAGCTTTGAAAAGAAGCCAAGCGTCTTCTGCCCTGAAGGAAAAATACGAGACCAAGAACTTGGCCCCGTTGCTTCGCGCACACGCATGCTGGACAACGTCTAGCTCTGGGGTGGAGCAGGCCTTTTCCAAGGCTCAGAGGAGCCAGGGAGCGAAACACTTTGGTCCAAAGGCAGCCGAATCAGAGCGTCGAGCCATGGTTTCCTTGACATACACTGACTCCTCTGCAACTCCTTTGGCCTCGGTCGTGGACAAAGCTCGTGAGCTCTACGCAAGCAAAGTGTCCAGACACCTGGGCCAGCACAAAGGCAAACGTTTTGACAAGGGAGTGAAGAGAGGGCCTCGAATGAAGTTGGCTGGGAAGTTGGTGGAGAAAACTTGGATCAACCGCAGGCGTGCCTCTGTCAAAGCAGCTGCTGCCCAGAGCTCAGCTTCTGGGCAGGAACCTGTGGCAATTGCGAATTTATCTGTCAAAGCTCAGAAGGACAGGGCATTTGAGCTTGTTTGTCCTGCTAAAGTTTTTTTTTTCAACCGTTTGCTTTCAAAGTTTTGGGCTCCGCCCGGTGAAAGGAGCTTGCAACCTCGCGCGAGACGGCGCGGAAGAAGAAGATCGAAGCACATCGTGATGGCTACTACCATGGTGTGGATGCTGCGGAAGGCTTGAGTTTGGAACAGGAGGCAATGAAGAGAGCCAGAGAGGATTCCAAAGCGGATCGGTCCATGCGTTTGAAACGGCAGAAGCGGCAATGTCAGCTTCTTTCCACAACTAAGAAATGCGATTGGAGGTGGCAATCTCTGGGGCCTGCCAAGGCCTGGTTTGCCAGTGGCTTGCCGCCGATCACATGCGACCCATTGCTGCCGCATGAGGACCTTAATAATATGTTTCTATTTTTGGTCAATTGAGCATAGCAAACGTAAGTACATGTAATAACCATAGTATTTTTTATTCTCATGGAACTGGCCAGGACATCCGAACTGCTTCCGTCTTTGTAGTGGATGACTCTGATGTACCATTGAAGGCTTATTTCATGGCCGCGACGACGGGGGGGCTGT